ATTTCTAACCACCCCCCCACCCCCATGTCAAAATTCTTTACCCAAGTCCAAATCTCCGCACTCCTAGCAGTGTACCATCATTTTTTGGACAACCCCTTGAGGCAAATAGGGTCTACTTGACACAGAAATTTTACACCGGAAGTAGATCATTTCGGTTTTTTGAACACTTTGACTGACTTCAGTCATCTATAAGCAACGATCTATCTTTTAAATACATGTTCGAGTTTCAATTCTCACTTAACATCTTTAGCATCGACTACTATACCATTAATATATGTATATATATATATATATATATATATATATATATATATATATATATATATATATATATATATATATATATATATATATATATATATATGGACACATTTAGCTTGATCCCCCAACCCCCACCTTTTAAAAAATAGGTGATATTGAGAGCCACTGATATTGAGAGCCACAGATATTGAGAGCCGCTGATATTGAGAGCCACATATATTGAGAGCCGCTGATATTGAGAGCCACAGATATTGAGAGCCACTGATATTGAGAGCCACTGATATTGAGAGCCGCTGATATTGAGAGCCACATATATTGAGAGCCGCTGATATTGAGAGCCACAGATATTGAGAGCCACTGATATTGAGAGCCACTGATATTGAGAGCCACAGATATTGAGAGCCACTGATATTGAGAGCCACTGATATTGAGAGCCACTGATCGAATTCCTGACGAAGATCGTCGCCGTCCATACAAGGAAGGACAGCGGTTCGACAAACTGACCGACATTTTCATTTGAAATTTTGTCGTGTTTTTTTCCCCCATCCACGACCTGAGGTACTGCGGGATCGGCATGTCTACCAAAAAACGTTGGCCGTTATTCCGATGTACCACGTGACCTGTAGCACGCGGTGAGTCACGTGGTACTGGGGGAGCGGCACCAGATGGCGCCTCTTGAAGTGTGCCATGGAAAGTTGATTCAAAGAGAGATAATTCAAATTGAGTGGGAATAAATGTAACATTTCGTGTCTTGTTGAATGTGTGGGTGTTTATAAGTTTAGTTCGTGGGGAATTGGCCAATTCAACTTTTTAAAACACACATGGTGAACACGCGCCATACACACTACGATAGGTGCAAGCTATGATGGACTGAATTAACCGATTTAATTATTTGAAGTTGAGTAAATTATTGATTTTTTTTAAGTTGACCGATATCATGTAGGCGGATATTAGTCCACTCTATCTTTATCCAAAAGTAAGTTAACTCACTCTTACATTAACCCTATATTCTCCAAGGTTATTATTTGATCATCTCTTTCCATAATTAAACTTAGTCGACCCATTTTCGCCAAAATTTCACTTGATAAAATATTTAAAATATCCTGTTTACATTTTTTTGTGCTTCCGTTGACCTGTGAGTTAAATGTAGTTCGTCAGACGTACACAGGCAGACATTAGGATCTGTAAGAAATGGATCAGAATAACGTCCTTTTTTGTTAGATTTTTAAAATGTGGGGGGGGGGGGATTTTTTTTTACAGATAAGTGTGAAATTATTTGATAGATAGTGGAGGAAGTATTTCACACTTACTTTGGAAATTATTTCACATATACTTGGGAAATTATTTCATAGAAAAGTAGGGAAAGCATTGGACAGAGGGCGTGGTAACAAGTGAAAACGTTGTGTTTGGATGGTCGGAAAGATTTTTTTTTATTAGTTGGAGAATGTGGAGTATAGTTAATTGATAGTGGGGGAATGTGGATAAAAGTTAATTGATATTGGGGGAATGTGGAGAATAGTTTAATGCTAATTCAGCTTTAAAAATGCAGACATCTACCACGTGAACTAAGCGATGTAAGAGTGTCTGATTATTTCCTTTAGAAATGTCGATATTTTCCGGTTTCACCTTCTCTATACAGTATTTTTAGCGCAATTTCCATACAGACAATTGCGATTATTAACTCGTCATTTCTGGATGTATGAATGGATGGATGTGTGTCCGCAGCTTTAAGTGGTATCTTCTCCTCAACGAAGCAATATCGGGGACTAGTTCCAAAAGCAAATATGTTAAACAAGTTCCGAGGATGATTGTGGGCCAAAAAAATTCCCGGATTTCCTTCCTGGATGTCCTGGAAAAGCCAAAAGACCTCGAAAAATGCAGTTTTTGACCCATATCTCGGCAACCAGACCACTTAGCGACTTGAAACATTTACCAATCGATTCCTGCCATAATTTAGAACAATATTGCCGAAGAAAGTTTTCAAAAATATCCTTTCGTTCGGTCACAAAAAATTAATTAAGAACATTTAAACTGAGCATCGTGTGGGCCTAGGATGATATTTTTAATTTAAACTGAACATCGTGTAGGTTTTTAGCGCAAAGATATATCCTTTCGTTCGGTGACAAAAAATTAAAAATTGTTATGGATAACATAAGGAAATTGCGCTTAAATTGTCACTAGACTTTTTATTAACTTGTTTTTATTCAGCAAATATATCACAATTTTTGGAAATTAAATGTTAAATAAATAGTTCTAAATTTAAAACGTAAATTTTGGCTAAAAAATTATTGACATAATGGTACTGACCTCAAACCAAAATTTTACAAAAAAAAAAAAAAAAAATAATTAACGACTGAATTCGATATTAGCATTTTCACGAGACTGAATTCTATTTTAGCCTTTACATTATAGAAATATATTTTTTAACAAAATTAGGACAGAATTTTATATTAAATTTTACAAAAAAAAAACCGTCGTCGTGAAATATATTTTAAAAACAAATTAGTCGGTAGAGGACAAGAAAGATCCATTGATCCAGTTTCTCTAAAGTCGGTTAACAGCTTCAATTACAGAAGAGGGGAAAAAACTGTTTTATTCAAGATCTAATATGTATCTTCGTAAATATCATGTTGACTTTGTTTATTTTTGTCCTCAAGTGTCACCATGACCTACCCTATTTAATGCGGTCGCTCCAGGATAGACACTTATATGTCAGGTTTTAAGTGTGAGATGTTCGCTATGCGACGTCCTAGTTTAAGACTGAGCTTACAGACACTTATATTTCAGGTTTTAATGACAAGTGTGAGATGTTCGCTATGTGACGTCCTAGTTTAAGACTGAGCTTACAGACACTTATATGTCAGGTTTTAATGACAAGTGTGAGATGTTCGCTATGTGACGTCCTAGTTTAAGACATGTTTTAATGACAAGTGTGAGATAATCGCTATGTGACGTGCTAGATTAAGACTGAGCTGTGGCGTAGCGAGGTCGGATGTCACCCGATGCGGCACTTAATGGTGTCCCCCCCCCAGAGGCTTAGCGACCCTTCCCGGGGACAAACTTTCAAATGTTCGATTTGCACCCCCCCCCCCCCGTCAAATTTTCGATTTGCACCCCCCATCAAGTTTTCGATTTGCACCCCTCCCCCTCAAACTTTCGATTTGCACCACGCCCCTCAAGTTTTTCTCTATATATTTTGCTATTTTTTGCCTTGGTGTCACCCCCCCCCCCCCTAAATGGTGTCACCCGGTGCGGTCCGCCCCCCCCCCTCGCTACGCCCCTGAGACTGAGCTTACAGACACTTATATTTCAGGTTTTAATGACAAGTGTGAGATGTTCGCTATGTGACGTGCTAGTTTAAGACTGAGCTTACAGACACTTATATGTCAGGTTTTAATGACAAGTGTGAGATGTTCGCTATGTGACGTCCTAGTTTAAGACAGGTTTTAATGACAAGTGTGAGATGTTCGCTATGTGACGTCCTAGTTTAAGACAGGTTTTAATGACAAGTGTGAGATGTTCGCTATGTGACGTCCTAGTTTAAGACAGGTTTTAATGACAAGTGTGAGATGTTCGCTATGTGACGTCCTAGTTTAAGACAGGTTTTAATGACAAGTGTGAGATGTTCGCTATGTGACGTCCTAGTTTAAGACAGGTTTTAATGACAAGTGTGAGATGTTCGCTATGTGACGTGCTAGTTTAAGACAGGTTTTAATGACAAGTGTGAGATGTTCGCTATGTGACGTCCTAGTTTAAGACAGGTTTTAATGACAAGTGTGAGATGTTCGCTATGTGACGTCCTAGTTTAAGACAGGTTTTAATGACAAGTGTGAGATGTTCGCTATGTGACGCCCTAGTTTAAGACTGAGCTTACAGATACTGACACGTCCTAGTTTTTAGATGAGCACAGAAACAGTCACAGGAAAAATGATGTCACAAAGTTTTTTTTTTAAATAGGAAAGGGTCACAGAAAAAGTCTTTTTGGGAAGCTATTCGGGGAAAAGTCACAAAAATTGTCAAAGTGAAAGTCAGAAATTTTTTTTCTAAGAAATATCCATTGACTTGATGAGAATTGTAAACTCACTCTCGTGATTAAATGTGGGGAACGTTTTAAAAAAAAACCACATTCATATACTTTAAAGTCTTTATGGTTTACAAAAATGATCCTACTTTTATCTCAATAAGTAAACATTTTCATAGCAACCCTCAATTGTGTTGTACATGACAAATTCCCCACATGGGGGGGGGGGGGGGGGGTGTTGACAGTTCTAACTCCTAGATCGCATGATTGAACTGTAGGCACTACACTGCCGATGCTTATATTAACGATCAGATTTAGTTACATGCTCTTGATCTTGGGTCGATTCGTGATGACATAAAGCTTTTAATTACTACTATTTATTCTATCGCGGCTTATTTTTCCCTATATATAACTTAAATGGGGGGGGGGGGGCGGCAAGGATGAGCTGAGGATGGGGAGGGTTACGTCCTAAGTATCTGGAAATCGCTTGGCTAGTACCGCTAGACGAAACCTGGATCTAAGCGAGGCTTTTGGCTGATCCTAACCTAAAGCATGATCAGACAACAACACCAAAACTGGATACATTAATCAAATATCTTGCTAGCCGGCATTGGAAACTGTGCATCATATGTCTTGCTAGCCGGCATTGGAACAAGAAACTGCATCATATGCCTTGCTAGCCGGCATTGGAACAAGAAACTGTGCATCTTATATCTTGCTAGCCGGCATTGGAACAAGAAACTGCATCATATATCTTGCTAGCCGGCTTTGGAACAAGAAACTGTGCATCATATATCTTGCTAGCCGGCATTGGAACAAGAAACTGTGCATCATATGCCTTGCTAGCCGGCATTGGAACAAGAAACTGTGCATCATATATCTTGCTAGCCGGCATTGGAACAAGAAACTGTGCATCATATGTCTTGCTAGCCGGCATTGGAACAAGCAACTGTGCATCATATGCCTTGCTAGCCGGCATTGGAACAAGAATCTGTGCATCAAATGTCTTGCTAGCCGGCATTGGAAACTGTGCATCATATGTCTTGCTAGCCGGCATTGGAACAAGAAACTGTGCATCATATGTCTTGCTAGCCGGCATTGGAACAAGAAACTGTGCATCATATGTCTTGCTAGCCGGCATTGGAACAAGAATCTGTGCATCAAATGTCTTGCTAGCCGGCATTGGAAAGTGTGCATCATATATCTTGCTAGCCGGCATTGGAACAAGAAACTGTGCATCATATGCCTTGCTAGCCGGCATTGGAACAAGCAACTGTGCATCATATGTCTTGCTAGCCGGCATTGGAACAAGCAACTGTGCATCATATGCCTTGCTAGCCGGCATTGGAACAAGAATCTGTGCATCATATGTCTTGCTAGCCGGCATTGGAACAAGAAACTGTGCATCATATGTCTTGCTAGCCGGCATTGGAACAAGAAACTGTGCATCATATATCTTGCTAGCCGGCATTGGAACAAGAAACTGTGCATCATATATCTTGCTAGCCGGCATTGGAACAAGAAACTGTGCATCATATATCTTGCTAGCCGGCTTTGGAACAAAAAACTGTGCATCATATATCTTGCTAGCCGGCATTGGAACAAGAAACTGTGCATCATATATCTTGCTAGCCGGCTTTGGAACAAAAAACTGTGCATCATATATCTTGCTAGCCGGCATTGGAACAAGAAACTGTGCATCATATATCTTGCTAGCCGGCTTTGGAACAAGAAACTGTGCATCATATATCTTTCTAGCCGGCTTTGGAACAAAAAACTGTGCATCATATATCTTGCTAGCCGGCATTGGAACAAGAAACTGTGCATCATATATCTTGCTAGCCGGCATTGGAACAAGAAACTGTGCATCATATATCCTTCTAGCTGGCATTGGAACAAGAAACTGTGCATCATATATCTTGCTAGCCGGCATTGGAACAAGAAACTGTGCATCATATATCTTGCTAGCCGGCATTGGAACAAGAAACTGTGCATCATATATCTTGCTAGCTGGCATTGGAACAAGAAACTGTGCATCATATATCTTGCTAGCCGGCATTGGAACAAGAAACTGTGCATCATATATCTTGCTAGCTGGCATTGGAACAAGAAACTGTGCATCATATATCTTGCTAGCTGGCATTGGAACAAGAAACTGTGCATCAGAAATCGGAGAAATCGATGTCAAATTATGTTTGAGATTGTGTTCTCATTCGCAATATGTAACCTAGGTGGGTGGGGAGACTGGGGGCCTTGGAGGGGGGGGGGGGGGGGGGGGGGGGAGGGGCTCATCAGGTTATTCATTGAAGTGGGGAAGGCAACTAATCAGGCAAGTGAATAAAATGAAAACCAAAGATGAAAACATGGGAGAGGTTCTCTTTGTTTCTAGACATCAACTGACTTTATCGAGGGCGCAATTACATTTTCACATGAACAGAGTTTAAAAATGTGAAATAGAAACTCCATTCCTTATTTAAACATGCACCAGAAGATTGTTATTTATTCTAGCATACGATATCAAAACACGAAATACATTTTCAATTTCGAATTCAGTTAATAAAAGAGTAAATATATCCCACGTTTTTTACTAAAGCTATGCTGTAGCCAGTTCACGCCTGCTAGTTGATTGAAACTATGCTGTACCCAGCTCACGTCTGCTAGTAAACAGATTGAAGCTATGCTGTACCCAGTTCACGCCTGCTAGTTGATTGAAGCTATGCTGTAGCCAGTTCACGTCTGCTAGTAAACAGATTGAAGCTATGCTGTAGCCAGTTCACGTCTGCTAGTTGATTGAAGCTATGCTGTACCAAGTTCACGTCTGCTAGTTGATTAAAGCTATGCTGTACCCAGTTCTGGTCTGCTAGTAAACAGATTGAAGTTATGCTGTACCCAGTACACGTCTGCTAGTTGATTGAAGCTATGCTGTACCCAGTTCACGTCTGCTAGTTGATTAAAGCTATGCTGTACCCAGTTCTGGTCTGCTAGTAAACAGATTGAAGTTATGCTGTACCCAGTTCACGTCTGCTAGTTGATTGAAGCTATGCTGTACCCAGTACATGTTTGCTAGTTGATTGAAGCTATGCTGTACCCAGTACATGTATGCTAGTTGATTGAAGTTATGCTGTACCCAGTACATGTTTGCTAGTTGATTGAAGCTATGCTGTACCCAGTTCACGTCTGCTAGTAAACAGATTGAAGTTATGCTGTACCCAGTTCACGCCTGCTAGTTGATTGAAGCTATGCTGTACCCAGTTCACGCCTGCTAGTTGATTGAAGCTATGCTGTACCCAGTTCACGTCTGCTAGTTGATTGAAGCTATGCTGTACCCAGTTCACGTCTGCTAGTTGATTGAAGCTATGCTGTACCCAGTTCACGCCTGCTAGTTGATTGAAGCTATGCTGTACCCAGTTCACGCCTGCTAGTTGATTGAAGCTATGCTGTACCCAGTTCACGTCTGCTAGTTGATTGAAGCTATGCTGTACCCAGTTCACGCCTGCTAGTTGATTGAAGCTATGCTGTACCCAGTTCACGTCTGCTAGTTGATTGAAGCTATGCTGTACCCAGTTCACGTCTGCTAGTTGATTGAAACTATGCTGTACCCAGTTCACGTCTGCTAGTTGATTGAAACTATGCTGTACCCAGTTCACGTCTGCTAGTTGATTGAAACTATGCTGTACCCAGTTCACGCCTGCTAGTTGATTGAAGCTATGCTGTACCCAGTTCACGCCTGCTAGTTGATTGAAGCTATGCTGTACCCAGTTCACGCCTGCTAGTTGATTGAAGCTATGCTGTACCCAGTTCACGTCTGCTAGTTGATTGAAGCTATGCTGTACCCAGTTCACGTCTGCTAGTTGATTGAAACTATGCTGTACCCAGTTCACGTCTGCTAGTTGATTGAAACTATGCTGTACCCAGTTCACGTCTGCTAGTTGATTGAAACTATGCTGTACCCAGTTCACGCCTGCTAGTTGATTGAAGCTATGCTGTACCCAGTTCACGTCTGCTAGTTGATTGAAACTATGCTGTACCCAGTTCACGTCTGCTAGTTGATTGAAGCTATGCTGTACCCAGTTCACGTCTGCTAGTTGATTGAAACTATGCTGTACCCAGTTCACGTCAGCTAGTTGATTGAAACTATGCTGTACCCAGTTCACGTCTGCTAGTAAACAGATTGAAGTTATGCTGTACCCAGTTCACGCCTGCTAGTTGATTGAAGCTATGCTGTAGCCAGTTCACGTCTGCTAGTAAACAGATTGAAGTTATGCTGTACCCAGTTCACGCCTGCTAGTTGATTGAAGCTATGCTGTACCCAGTTCACGTCTGCTAGTTGATTGAAGCTATGCTGTACCCAGTTCACGCCTGCTAGTTGATTGAAGCTATGCTGTACCCAGTTCACGTCTGCTAGTTGATTGAAGCTATGCTGTACCCAGTTCACGCCTGCTAGTTGATTGAAACTATGCTGTACCCAGTTCACGTCTGCTAGTAAACAGATTGAAGTTATGCTGTACCCAGTTCACGCCTGCTAGTTGATTGAAGCTATGCTGTAGCCAGTTCACGTCTGCTAGTAAACAGATTGAAGTTATGCTGTACCCAGTTCACGCCTGCTAGTTGATTGAAGCTCTGCTGTAGCCAGTTCACGTCTGCTAGTAAACAGATTGAAGCTATGCTGTACCCAGTTCACGCCTGCTAGTTGATTGAAGCTATGCTGTAGCCAGTTCACGTCTGCTAGTTGATTGAAGCTATGCTGTACCCAGTTCACGTCTGCTAGTTGATTGAAGCTATGCTGTAGCCAGTTCACGTCTGCTAGTTGATTAAAGCTATGCTGTACCCAGTTGTCTGCTAGTTGATTGAAGCTATGCTGTACCCAGTTCACGTCTGCTAGTTGATTAAAGCTATGCTGTACCCAGTTGTCTGCTAGTTGATTGAAGTTATGCTGTACCCAGTTCACGTCTGCTAGTAAACAGATTGAAGCTATGCTGTACCCAGTACACGTCTGCTAGTTGATTGAAGCTATGCTGTACCCAGTTCACGTCTGCTAGTTGATTAAAGCTATGCTGTACCCAGTTCTGGTCTGCTAGTAAACAGATTGAAGTTATGCTGTACCCAGTTCACGTCTGCTAGTTGATTGAAGCTATGCTGTACCCAGTACATGTTTGCTAGTTGATTGAAGCTATGCTGTACCCAGTACATGTATGCTAGTTGATTGAAGTTATGCTGTACCCAGTACATGTTTGCTAGTTGATTGAAGCTATGCTGTACCCAGTTCACGTCTGCTAGTAAACAGATTGAAGTTATGCTGTACCCAGTTCACGCCTGCTAGTTGATTGAAGCTATGCTGTACCCAGTTCACGCCTGCTAGTTGATTGAAGCTATGCTGTACCCAGTTCACGTCTGCTAGTTGATTGAAGCTATGCTGTACCCAGTTCACGTCTGCTAGTTGATTGAAGCTATGCTGTACCCAGTTCACGCCTGCTAGTTGATTGAAGCTATGCTGTACCCAGTTCACGCCTGCTAGTTGATTGAAGCTATGCTGTACCCAGTTCACGTCTGCTAGTTGATTGAAGCTATGCTGTACCCAGTTCACGCCTGCTAGTTGATTGAAGCTATGCTGTACCCAGTTCACGTCTGCTAGTTGATTGAAGCTATGCTGTACCCAGTTCACGTCTGCTAGTTGATTGAAACTATGCTGTACCCAGTTCACGTCTGCTAGTTGATTGAAACTATGCTGTACCCAGTTCACGTCTGCTAGTTGATTGAAACTATGCTGTACCCAGTTCACGCCTGCTAGTTGATTGAAGCTATGCTGTACCCAGTTCACGCCTGCTAGTTGATTGAAGCTATGCTGTACCCAGTTCACGCCTGCTAGTTGATTGAAGCTATGCTGTACCCAGTTCACGTCTGCTAGTTGATTGAAGCTATGCTGTACCCAGTTCACGTCTGCTAGTTGATTGAAACTATGCTGTACCCAGTTCACGTCTGCTAGTTGATTGAAACTATGCTGTACCCAGTTCACGTCTGCTAGTTGATTGAAACTATGCTGTACCCAGTTCACGCCTGCTAGTTGATTGAAGCTATGCTGTACCCAGTTCACGTCTGCTAGTTGATTGAAACTATGCTGTACCCAGTTCACGTCTGCTAGTTGATTGAAGCTATGCTGTACCCAGTTCACGTCTGCTAGTTGATTGAAACTATGCTGTACCCAGTTCACGTCAGCTAGTTGATTGAAACTATGCTGTACCCAGTTCACGTCTGCTAGTAAACAGATTGAAGTTATGCTGTACCCAGTTCACGCCTGCTAGTTGATTGAAGCTATGCTGTAGCCAGTTCACGTCTGCTAGTAAACAGATTGAAGTTATGCTGTACCCAGTTCACGCCTGCTAGTTGATTGAAGCTATGCTGTACCCAGTTCACGTCTGCTAGTTGATTGAAGCTATGCTGTACCCAGTTCACGCCTGCTAGTTGATTGAAGCTATGCTGTACCCAGTTCACGTCTGCTAGTTGATTGAAGCTATGCTGTACCCAGTTCACGCCTGCTAGTTGATTGAAACTATGCTGTACCCAGTTCACGTCTGCTAGTAAACAGATTGAAGTTATGCTGTACCCAGTTCACGCCTGCTAGTTGATTGAAGCTATGCTGTAGCCAGTTCACGTCTGCTAGTAAACAGATTGAAGTTATGCTGTACCCAGTTCACGCCTGCTAGTTGATTGAAGCTCTGCTGTAGCCAGTTCACGTCTGCTAGTAAACAGATTGAAGCTATGCTGTACCCAGTTCACGCCTGCTAGTTGATTGAAGCTATGCTGTAGCCAGTTCACGTCTGCTAGTTGATTGAAGCTATGCTGTACCCAGTTCACGTCTGCTAGTTGATTGAAGCTATGCTGTAGCCAGTTCACGTCTGCTAGTTGATTAAAGCTATGCTGTACCCAGTTGTCTGCTAGTTGATTGAAGCTATGCTGTACCCAGTTCACGTCTGCTAGTTGATTAAAGCTATGCTGTACCCAGTTGTCTGCTAGTTGATTGAAGTTATGCTGTACCCAGTTCACGTCTGCTAGTAAACAGATTGAAGCTATGCTGTACCCAGTTCACGTCTGCTAGTTGATTGAAGCTCTGCTGTAGCCAGTTCAGGTCTGCTAGTAAACAGATTG